CCTTTGCCCCCAAATCAGACCCAGCAGGGACAGCAAACAGATCCACTAGGGGCAGCTGCAGCCGTGAATTCTGCCCTTGCGTTTGGACAAGGTCTGGCTGCAGGCATGCCAGGTGAAGCCGCGTTCTTGTTTCTAGATGCTTAGGGGGAAGTCTGCTTGCTTGGGGCAGTGCAGAGGCCAGTGGGCAGTGCTTTGAGATCGCTCAGCGTGTTGCGATGTGGGGACTGGCAAGGATGACATGCACTTGCCCTCACTGAGACCACGGTCCATTGCTGAGAGCGTTGTTCTGAGCCCGTCTTCCAGCTTGTGTGTTAGAGGTAGGTGGACGCCCGCTTAGCTGGGAGTACATGGTTTTCCTTTTCTTCCTCAGGACCAGGAAATGGCCAGGCTACTCTCACTTCACTCCAGGGCTTTCCTCTGTGCGCCATTGTCTTTTAATAGCATGAGCAAGATGAAATTCCCTGATAGTTCTAGGATTTCTCCCAAACCAATAAGTAGCAGGGGTGCTTTTCAGCTGCCAGCCTCTGAGGTAGTAGATAAAGGTGAATGTTGGTCTGGGGAGTCACGATCATTTCCTCATAGAAAAGTGTGCCATGATCAATACCGATGCTGTATCTTGGGTAGAGGTTGTTCTTGGCTCACTGTCTTCAGGCCCTGTGCTTTGCATGGATCTGACAGACGGTCAGACGTGGTCTTCGTTTGGCTACTTCCGGTGTGAGACCTCAGCTGCGCTCACCGGCCTTTACTGACCGTAACATAGTCAGGTCAGTGGTGCCGCATCGCTGTGGTCCATTGTGACCTCAGTGAATGACTGCCGCATGCCCTGCACTAGCCACTCAGTAGTATCGCTCAGTCGGAACAGTGCTCCCAGGGTCTCATCAGCACGTGGCGCAGATGTGTGGTGTTAGAAGACCCTGTTCGTCGAGGCGTGTCTCGGTTGTCCCTGGTGCCCCGAGTATCTGTGCGTACCTTATTACCGGGTATGAAAGGGCCATCATTGCTGTGGTCACTTTTAGCCTCTGTTAATTGTTTGGTCAAGAAAATGTCAGTGTTTGGTTGCTAGTGACGATGCTGGCGAGCACCTCGGAGAGCGCAGGTATTTCCTCCCTCGCCCATCACCTGCCGCCCCTCCTGGCACAGACACCGTGCTAGAGCTCCATGTGCACCTTGCAGCTTGCTGGTCATTCAGACCTGCGAGGCAGGTGGCTGCATCCTCCTTTTACAGATGGGGGGACGGGTGCCCAGAGAGCCAGGGTCGTTTAGCTGTTCACGTGGTGAAGCCAGATGCGTGTCTGGGTCTGTGGGGCCCCAGAGCTGTTTGGGACTGTCCACAGCACCCTGTGCCCACGACACGTGCTAGTGCCACAGCTACACTTGAGTGTGTCTGCTTGGTCCTCCCAGGTTACCCGGTCCTGGCTCCTGCTGCGTACTATGACCAAACCGGTGCCCTCGTGGTGAACGCAGGGGCAAGAAACGGTCTCGGGGCTCCGGTTCGGCTCGTGGCTCCTGCCCCCGTCATCATCAGCTCCTCGGCTGCACAAGCAGGTGAGCACGCGTCGTAGTGGGCGCCGTTGGAGAGCGAGAACCATAGTTTGAAAGTTTGCTGAGCTATCATGCTTTCCTTGACAGTTCTCAGTAACAGATCTACTTCATAGTGTTTCAAAGAGAGGATCAGAAGCAGCCAGCGACCTCGGGGGCTTCTGGTTCTGTTGAGGGCATGGACCATCTGGTTAGTGGCCAGGACTGGCTCTACCGAGAACACGGGATGTTGGGTTGCTCACACAAAGTGGCACCCTTGGCAGACGTCCAAGGCTGGTCTCCTAGAAACTCAAGCCATTGCTTCACAAAGTTTGGGGTCGAGGGGTTTGATTTTGGTCGTTAGGAAGTGGGAAGAGGAGCGAGAAGTGGAGAGTAATACAATTGGGGGACGCAAAGAGTTTTGGGATTCTTTTTTTTTTAACCTTTATATGCTTTTTTTCCCCTTTTTAATTGGAAACTGTAGAGGGAACATCTAGAAGAAAAGTGAATGCTGGAGAACAGGGCTTTGAGCGACTTCAATCCATAATGACATGGTTTTAGAAAACAGCCTCAAAATGGGTATCTGTGGTCCTGGGGGTTCCGGAAGAGGTTGTATCTGATGGTCAGGTTTACAGCCGTTCCCTTTTAAGTATAGGGTCTTGAAAGGCAGCACCACAGTGAGCCCGCTCCACTGGGGTCGTGACTTCCAACTAAATGTAGAAACAAAGTGGGAGGTTTAGGGTCAAAGACACATTCGCGAGGCCTTTACCAGGTTTGTGTTTGCCTTGAAAAGACAGGTAGCATTGAAAGGGTTTAGGAAAGGCTAAAAGTGCAGGTTTGGAAACACGGCCCTCCCTCTCACTGCTGCACGGTCTGCTCTCTTCTTCACAGCTGTCGCAGCAGCCGCAGCTTCAGCAAACGGAGCAGCCGGTGGGCTTGCCGGGACGACAAACGGACCCTTCCGCCCACTAGGCACGCAGCAGCCCCAGCCCCAGCCCCAGCAGCAGCCCAGCAACAGCCTGGCTTCCGGCTCCTTCTACGGCAGCAGCTCTCTGAGCAGCAGCTCGCAGAGTAGCTCTCTCTTCTCCCAGGGCTCTGCCCAACCCGCCAGCACGTCCTTGGGGTTCGGAAGTAGCAGTTCTCTCGGAGCCACCCTAGGATCAGCCCTTGGAGGGTTCGGAACCGCAGGTAGAAATCATGCCGATATGCCATTAAAACAGACTTTTAATCATTTTTACAATCTTTCTGGAACTCTGACAATGCATGGAAGTTGGGACAGCTACTGCAGGCAGATGGAGTCCCAGCCCCTTAGGAAGTCAGCCCTCTCGTGTCCATGAGTGCCAATGGGCTCTCGAACCCTTGTTCCACAGTTGGGGCTTACCCTGGGTCATGATCATGTTGCTGCTTACTTACATTCTCATAGTCAGTTTCTCTCAGCAATTGCAGGGAAGAATGTAGAAGGAGCTGTAGAAAGAAGGATATTAAGAAACTGAGGGAAGAGGCCTTAGCAAAGGCCTCAGTACCCTGCAGCTGAGACCGAGTTGACTGCTTGGCCTGCAGGCTTTAAAGAGAGGAGCGTTCTCCAGCCTCGCAAGCAGATTAACATAGGCAGTGTGGAAAATCGAGAGGAGGAATGTTAGAGCAGCATATTGTCAATGTTTCAGTGGGAGAGGAAAAAGCACACATAGAGAGGGTGGGACTGTGGGACGGACAACCATAGTGGCTGTAAAACAGTGTGATCTCAAAACAGACGGGCATGTTTTAGAGAAAGTATCTTAAATTGGGAGCTAATGGTAACTATCGATGGAACCCAATGAGAAACCAGGCTTTCGTATACGAGTCCTGTTTGATGGGACACTGCCTCGTGTACGAATCTATTTTCCTGTTCTCCGTTTTCTGCTAGAACCCTTTGGGTTGATGAAAGGCGTTCCTTCTCACCCCTTTTCTTTCACCTTTTCCATAGCTCATGTGGCCATGAGAGCTTTTTAAACTCTCCCCTGCCCCTAATCGCTGACAGCGAAGGAAGGTGAAACTGCATAGGTGTGCTGGTTTAACCAAGGTCCGTGTTGTCCTGAGCCATGCCCTCCCCGTTACTGTGCCCGCCACAGGGTTGCTGTTAACAGGCTGTCTCTACTGACAGGTTTGCGGTGGGAAGGAGTCTGGATCAAAGTGTTAGACGCAGGTCACTGGGCTTGTTCTTTAAAGAACAGGCCTGTTCTTACCTGCATTGTTTTAATTTCATTTTAGTTGCAAACTCAAACACTGGCAGAGCGGGGCCCCCCGCCGTGACTCCCTGACTGGCAGCAGTGACCTTTATAAGAGGACGTCGAGCAGCCTGACCCCCATTGGACACAGTTTTTATAACGGCCTTAGCTTCTCCTCCTCTCCTGGACCCGTGGGCATGCCTCTCCCTAGTCAGGGACCGGGACATTCACAGACACCACCTCCTTCCCTCTCTTCACATGGATCCTCCTCAAGCTTAAATCTGGGTAAGAACCCTTGCTCTGACCACCTCGAACGCTTGAAACCTCTGGCCACCGTTGATGTTACAAGTGAGGTTTCATAAGCCAAGGACGGTCCCTTTGTCAAGACACATCCTGGGTGTTCTGTACCTTTTGTAAACGCGCCGTGCTATGTCCAGGCATTAGGGCAATTTTGGACTTAGTAGAGTTGGGTTGGTTATATCCCCGGTATGTTCACTACAGCCTTAGTATGAACATCTTATTTGGCTTCTTGTGAAAGTCTCATTATAAACACAGTGCAGGTTCATTTCAGAGTGGAGAACACAGGAAACCAGCAGTTAACGTAATGGCTATGTCGCTGGACTCCCACGTAGTCGACCACGGTTCGTGTCCTGGACCCGGTGGCTTAAAACTCATGCTGGGCGTGTGTGCATGCGTGCCCAAGATCCTGAGAGGAGAATGGAGGAGAAGGGATTGCGGCGTGACCATCCCCCCTGGGGGGTGATTTCTCGCTTTCTGTCTCTATGTCTCTCTCTGTCTGGCTGGCGAGCGCACGCGCCCTACAGTGAAAATCTCTCCAAAAAAAAAAAAAAAAAAGAGTGGAGAACACAGAGACAGAGAAAAAGAATTTATTCACCTTCTGTCTCACCACCTGAAATGCCATCATAGTTAATATTTCGCCTTACTCGTTTTCAGATTCACTCCTTCCTCGTGTATACATTTAATGTCTTGCTTTTTCACATAAAGAATCTTAAGAATTTTGCCAGGTCCTTAAATAAATATTTGTGAATATACTCTTAAACTATTGGGTTGTTGGAAAAGTCATGATGCATTTGACATAGAAAAACATGAGAAAGTATGTCATGACTTTTCCGATGACCCGACACCTAACATGCTAATGAATAAATGAATTTCCCCCTTTTATTTATTTAGGGCATTTCATGTATGGGGTTTTTAAAATGTTACCATCTAGATCCTAGCAAATGAGGAAGGGAAAGAGGACCCCCCCACACACCAGGACCTGGGAGTGAGAAGGACCGGTGCTGGCCTTCGTAGTGGCAGGCCTCGGGCTGGTACAGCAGGTGGAGCTGTCTCCTCTCCTAGCAGCATGGTGTGTCCCTCCTCTGGGTTTGGATTTCAAAGTACTGGCACCTTCTATGTGGGGCCTCAGGCCTAGAGGTCACGTGGCCGTCTGTGCACACCGGCTACTTTCATGATGAGTGGGCCTAGCTCGGACTGTCCTAGACAGATCAGCATGGCTGCTATGTGCATTGTAGCTAACTAGTGTCTTATTTAAAAAAAAAAAAAAAGCAGCTTTTATTTAACTTTACTTATTATTTTTAAAATTTGACCAGAGAGGAACACAGTGGGAGAGAGCGGGGGAAAGTGAGAAAGCAAGCCTCCAGGTCCAGGACTTGAATGGTGGTTAGCCACGTGGTAGTCCAGCGCCTCAACCACCACGCCACCTGCTCACTCTGATAGTATCTGTTTTCACCCAGCAAGATTGAAAGTGGCGTGTGGACTCAGAAGCAAGAATATAAATGAACAAGATACTTCATTTAGAAAAACAAAGAGTTGGGCCAACAGTGGTGTGATGGTTAGGGTGCTGGATCCCACATGGCCAATTCCATGGTTTGAGTCCTAGACCTGGAGGCCTGAAAGACATGCCAGGTGCCCAAAATCCTGAAAGGAGAATGGAGGAGAACGGGCTTGCGCTATGACCATCATCTCTGGTTTTTCGCTTTCCATGTCTCTCTCTCTCTCTGGCAAGGACACATGCTCTATGGCAAAAACAAACAAACAAACAAACAAAGAAAAACCAATAAACAAAACAAATAAAAATACAAAGACTTGCAAAACATTTTATAAAAATCTGAAATAGGTAGGGCAATAGTTACTTTTCTGGAATGAAGAGGGTATCTCTGAATTTGAAAGAGTTAAATTTCATGGCAAGAGTGTGTTTGCACTTGTATACAACTCTGGTGTGTGTGTCCATCCATCCAGTAAGAACTCTAGCTGTGGAGCTCATTGTCTCTCAGTTCTCTCTAGATAACACTTTAGAAGAGTCATCAGGGTGTCCCTGCCTGGGAGGTTCGTGGTGGGTGGGTGGGTGAGGGAAGAAGGCGCAGTACAGCAGTGTCTCCGAGTGCCAGAGTGCTTGGCCTTGAAGACTCAGGCTTGAAGTGGACTCTCCAGGGGCAGGTGCACACCCCAGTTTGCTGTCGGAAGGGATGACCCAGCGCTTTTGCTAGTGTTCCTGGGTGAGGGACCTGTACGCACAGGTATGGAGGATGTGGAGACGCGACACACCTCATGTTCCAGATGAGGACACTGAGTGTCAGGACTTACGTATCTTGCTTGGGTCATCTTGGGTTAGAGCAGAGTCAGAACCAGCGAGGCAGTTTTCGTAGTTGTCCTATCCCAAGACATGCCTAGGTTACCTTTTGAACCAGTATTACTACTGGATCCAGAAATACTACTTTTTAATTCTTTGATTTAAGCATTTGAACTATGTCATTCCGTGCACAATTCTCCTACAGAAACTCAACCTGCATGGCTCTTTTTGTTTGTTTGTAAAGAGCCAGATAGTAAATGTTTCAGGTTTTATGGGCCAGGCATCTCTTTAGTCAATATCTGCTTTGTCATTCAAGTGTAAAAGCAGCCCCAGCCAAGATGTGCTAGGCTGTCAGGAAAGTCGTGACTTATTTTTGCATGGAAAATTCTACGTAATTTCTATGCAGAAATATGTCCTGACTCCCCTGGTGACCCGGTAGGTGAACGCGTGTGTAGCTGACCTTCATAAAGTCTCATTTCGGACAGTAGGCGGCAGGCCGGTTTTATCTACTCTTTGGGCTGTGCTCTGTCAGCTCCTGAGTGGTGTCTGGACTAGAGCCAGAACCACTCTGGGCACGCCCGGAGCCCCCTCTGGCCAGTATGCCAGCAGTTCGGCCAGTTCCTTCTCAGCCCGTGTCCTCCCTGGCGTGCGTTGTTCCTTGTTATGGTGGCCTCTGCAGCCTGGTCAGCGTCACGTTTGGCGGAGCGCCCCTGAACTCACAGTGTGGACGCTCCCGCGTGCGTACTGGCTGGGGGTCTGTCGCCGTGTCCAGCACACACACCGCTCCCGATTTCCTGAGGGACTCCGATCACGTTAGCCCAGTCTGTTTCCTTGAGCAGATGTGCTTCTGGGCCCTAGTTTCTTTCCATGTGCTATCAGGCACGTGCGCTCACCGGAGAGAGGGCGAGCACCTCCCAGAGGGGGGGCCTCCACAGTCTCTAATCCACCCACACACACGTACCCAGTGTGGTTTTCAAGGGGCCTCGTCTTTGTTGAGTTATATTTTTTGGATCATAAAATTCACCATTTCAGGCATACTGTTCAATGAGTTTCATAACTTTATGAGTTGTACAGCCACCCTCATAAGTAAATTTTAGCATATTTCATCTATGCAGTAAGACCCTCCCACCTCGTTCCTCGCCACTCCCCCAGCCCCCTGCCGACCCATTCTTTCTCTGAATTGACACTGGGTATTTTTTTTTTTAAAGAATTATTTTATTTAACTTTATTTATTATTAATATCATTATTATTTTTCAGTTTGATCAGAGAGAGAGAGAGAGAGGAAGTGAGAAAGCAAGCCACCAGGTCCGAGACTTGAACTGTGGTCAGTCATGTGGGAGTCCAGTGCCTTTAACCACCACGCCACTTGCTGGCCCCTACATTGGGTATTTCACCAGACATCACTGGGTCTCATCCATCCACCTTCCTTCCCATGGCCCGGTTCTTGAGCCTCTGCGAGACAGACTGTGGGTAGTGCATCCCTTTTCATTGCTGTCTTACGGACTGCATCTCAGGTCCACCTGCCTGTCACAGCGCAGGCTTGTGAGCCACTCTGGTCCGGTTCGTTCGGAACGATGCTGCCGTGAATGTCAGCCTAGGGGTCTTTCTGTGGACACACACCTGTTTCTCTAGGAGTCGAATTGCTGATGTACATGCTATGTTTATGTTAACTTTTTTGAGACATACCGAATCTTATTTTTCCTTTATTTATGATAGAGCAGATGTGGATGTGAGAGAGAGAGGGAGGGAGGGGGGAGGGAGGAGCAGAACCTGGCCAGGGTCTGGTTACACTGTGACCAGCTTCCTTTGGTCTGTTGGGGCCGTGGACCAGTGCCTGCCAATCGATTGCAGGAATGGAGTGTTGCTTCACGTCCCTGCCGGTGGGTGGGCCTGAGCAGCACAGTCTGTCGCCTTCAGTGACACTTGCCATTACGTGCGTGTTTAACGAGTCTGTCCTACTGGCACACAGAGGTCTCATTGTGTCTTTTTTTTTTTTTTATAATTAATTAATTTTATTTTATTTTAATTTAAGGGGGGAGGTGGAGAGAGAGAGAGACGGAAAGTGAGAAAGCGAGAAAGCAAGCTGTCAGGTCCAGGACTCAACCTGCAGTCGACCATGTGGGAGTCCAGCTCCCTTAGCCACCTGCTGACCCCTCTCACGATGTTTTTATTTTTAGTTTCCTTGGTGGCTGTTGACTTAGAACATCTTTTCATGTGCTCATTAACTGTTTACTTAGTGTTTGGAAGGTCTGCTCATGTTTTTCTCCCTTTAGAAAAATGGGATTTGGCCAGTTAGTGATGTGGTTAAAGCAGCTGAATCTCACATGGTTGACTGTGGCTTTAGTCATGGACCCAGCAGCTTTGAAAAACATGCCAGGTGTATGTGCAGCCATGCCCAAAATCCGAGATGAGAATGGAAGAGAAGAGACTGTGGCATGGCCATCCCAGTGGGTGGTGCTCTCTCCCCTCACCTCCACCGCTCTGTCTCTCCAGCGAGCACACGTGCACCATAGCAAAACAGGTTGTCTGCCACCCTCCTACCTTGGGAGAGTTTTTGAATCCTCTGGGACCAGTCCTCCATCAGATAGGTGTTCTGCATGTGTTTTCTTCTGGTCTTACATGTTTCTTATCCCTCCCTCTCGCCTATCCTTCCTAGTGTATAGGAGAGAATGCACACCGCAGGAGGGGATG